ATTTCGGATCATTCAATCCCGAGATAATCGCAATTGTATTATCAGCCGAAATTATTAATCAATAAATTCTACTTTAAATAAAGGAGTCCCAGATTTTGTGATAAGCTGATCCAAATTAATGAATGTTAGCTCATTTGATTTGTCTAGTCGTGGAAAATTAAATGGTTTTTTTTTACGATGCAGTACTGTCACAAGTTTATAAATTTTTTATGTGTTATTATAATTATTACAATACAATTAAAATAAAAATAAAAAAAAAAATAAAAAAACAAAACTATGACTATCTCACATGATTCTATTATTAAAAAATTAGCTTAAACCTGTTTAGATTGACTAATCGCCAAAATTCCCTTCCAACAGAACCAAAAAATCCATATTTGATGATCAAGTTATCATAAAAAAATTCAAATGAAGTTATCAGTACTTATTAACGAAATCTATCCAAGAGTTACCAAATTTAAGGGCCAAAGTTAACCAAGACTTCTAAATCACTAATTTTGTAACCAATTTCTGAGAAATAAGCCTAGACATATATGTGTGAGTTGCGTGAGCAGCTGTAGCTGGCTTCTTTTTCTTCTTTTTCTTCATTTTCTTTAGTCTTAAAGAGATCCCTACAAACCTTTCCTTATTGATCAGTTTATTATATCAAGGAAGCCAAATCATGTCATGAAAGAGTTGGTTAAGATGATTGGTAGTTAAGCTAATAATGATAAAGGTATTGACCATAGTAAATAAAGAACGTAATAGATGAAAAAGTTCAGAAAGGATTAATCCTTTATCAATAGATGAAATGAAACTGAACGAGATTGAAAATCAACACTGTTGCTAAGTTGAGATTTTAATGAATAAAACAGGTAGATGAACAGGGTTCTTTCTTAACTTGCTGATAATAGTTTACTCCAAAAAATTCCTTAATGAGGCTTAAAGATCAATAATAGTGGCTTGGTTAGCAGAACAGGTCCATAAATGTTCAAGATCTTCTGCTGCATTATTGCAGGTGATACAATTCCAATTATTGTAAAGATCTAGACATCAAACAATGAGTTTATTTATAGTAGGGAGTTCTTTAGTTAGTATTTTACTTTTGAAAACCTTCTTATTTCTTTGGATAAACGTTATCATAGTTATCATATCATCTTATAAGTTATGGTTTTTGAGAGAAAAAGGTCAGAATATCACAGAAGATCTAGTAAGTCATAGTAAAAAGGCATTTTTCTGTAATTTAATGAAAGAAGAGAAATATTCAGCAGAATTAAGATCTTTTCAAAATTTCTTGAAGAGAAGTTAATTGGAATATTGTTAAACATCATCAACAGTTTCAAGTCCTCTACAGCAGAGTAATTGAGCAGGAAAATAAGCTAAGAGCAACAATGCTTAGCAAGAATATCAGCTTTATCATTGAAAAAGTCCCCAGAGTGTTCTTTAATTTTGACAAGAGTAATAGTCAAAAATAATTGTTATATAATGTAATGCAGTAAAATCCATGCAGCGTAATTAGAAAATTTCTCTCTTAATCTTGTAGTTAAAACATTGTTTGTAATATATTGATTAAACCCTTGTATTATAGCTTGACTATATGTAAAGATCCAAGGGGAAGAAGCCAAATGGCAAGTGATAATAGCTGAAATAATAGTGAACAATTCAGCTCTTGATGATGAAGGGTTATTGATGATAGAAGCATTAAAGGAACAAAGTGTAAATTTATAAAGATCAGGACAAATCCAACCTATCTTTATTGAACAAATATCAGTTGAGACATTAGAAAGTAATCCATCAGTGTAAAATATCAGCAAGGATAAATGTTATAGGCTAGTAGTCATTTGAATGAGAGTATCTTGCTGAGAAGGATCAATAATGACCAGTTTGATAATCTTAACATTCTTAGGTGAATGTGGATCAGCATGAGAAAAGATTGGAACCTCTGTAATTTGTTGAGAAGAGCAGACGGTATTTTCTTCTTGAGCATGTATAGAAGAGATTGAATGGTGTTTGTGACTGAAGTTTTCAGAAAATATTTTCTTTGATTTAATGGACTTTTGAAACTTTGGTAATTGAAATGACAAGGTCAGAATGATAGCCTTGTATACAAGTTGTCAAAGGAAGAGAAAGCCAGAATTTCTTTCAACTATAAGAAGGATTATGATAACTGTTTAAAAGCTCATCATTGTTTAATTCACATCCTTTGCACTTCGTGATTGCTCGTTTATTGTAAGAGATGAGAGACTATTGTGAGCATCAGATTGGATAAAATGTTGTATCATGAGATTGTTGTGTGTTCGTACTTTTCTGGCTATCCTTTTAATGATCAGTCAACTAAACTAGATATTGAGAGGAGAAATATATTCATATTTTTTATCGTCCATATTAATCTTGAGACTAGAAGAATCTATAAAAAAACTATTAGTATGAGCTAATCTAAAATTAATTGAGACTAATATAGAAGAATCAGATTTTAAAACTAAACTACTAACTAATTTATAAAAATTGGAAACATTATTTTTTTTAAAAAAATTGTTTTTGTAATATGATCTATTAACTAGTTCCTCCTGAGAAATCGAATGGTAGTTGTTTCATATGAATCAAAACAATATTGATCGAGATCATACGTCTTTTGTTTTTTTTTTCTATATATAAAAAATCATGTGGTATGACGTAATTTCGACTATTTCAACTTTTCATTTTGACTTTGACCTTCAAAGTCAAAACATTTTGACTTTTGAATTATCATTTTGACTTCATGTATAAGTACTTTGTTAATCTTAATATATACATCGTTAAGCTAATAATTTATATTGCTAATAGGAAGTTTAATTATGTCTAAATTATGAAAGAAATATACACAAGTTTAATTAATTAAAGGATCAGATCATCTTTATTGATATAGATTTAAAGAAAAATGAATTGTTTTACGAGTGAAGACAAGCTTTAGAGATAAATGCTATTGTTTATTAGAGAATTGGTAGTGACTCTGCCATTTAGCAGGTCAAAGATACAGAGTATTTATACAAAATAAAATAATAGTAAATAAAATATGATAAATAGGATAAATATAATAAATATAACTAATCTATCTCAACTAACAAATATAATATATATAATAAATATGATAAATCTGGTAGATCGGTTCAAATATGACCAATATGTCATATTTGTTAGATTTGTCTAATTTGTCATATCGGCCAACCAATCTAAATCACATGATTGGCTATAGTTATATGTTTAATAGGGATGCTTGAATAACATATTTTCACTGAAATAAATTTTTGAAAAAAAAAATTTCTATTTGGTCCCACTCATTCCGTTATGCAATTCATAGTTCAAGAAACTTTTACACGCATTTGGGAGAACAAGCGGTTCAGCCACCACGTCGAAAGGATCTCCTAGTCATCACCAGCAAATGAACGAATCGATGGCTGAAAATTGGCGCACATGTCAGTCACACCATTTCAAATAATAGCGTGACTGCTACGCCATTAAATATAATAGATAAAACTTTAATGAGCATACCAAAAGTAATTCAAAAATATGAAAGTTTAAATATGTCATGTTAGAATAGTTAAATAAAAAAATTAAATTTATCTAATTACTATTCCTTGAGGACATCGCTTCATTTTTTATAATATTAGTTTATTGATATAAAGATACCATAACAGTATCAAATATGTGATGTTTCTATTGGCTAGATCATTGGTAAAAATAGTAATGACGTCTGGATGAACCTTAGTTACAGACCAATTTTTGTAAAGGTCATATCTCTAATCTGGAAAGGGTGAAGAGCTCATCAACAAAAGTTTTTATGGGCACTTTTTTTTTCATTTTCTGTTTCGATTTCCTTAATTCATTTTATGTCACGTGATTTTTTGTTTCTTTTGAAAATTTGCTTTCGAGAATTTTACGAGTTCCTGTAAATGTATAGTGGTTTTGGCAGAAATTTTGGGGAGAATGACTTTATTCAGGGAAAAATATAGCGATAGGCATTTGAAAAATGAATATTTTTAAATTAAATTAGTTAAAAAAAACCGTATAAATCTTCCGAATAGTCAGATTATTTTTATTATTTTTATTATTATTATTTTGTCACAAAAATTGTTTCCAAATAAAAAAAAAAATAAAATCATTTTCATATAAACTATCAATTTTAATGTGGCAAACCACTTTTGAAAGACTTTTGCTGTAAACGATGCCATGAATTATACGATAATTTTAAAAGAAGCAAATATTAGATGCACATCGTTGACTTGGATTGATTTGAAAAATAGTTATTATTTATTAGTCTTATCCTGGGTCCAACTAGAATGAAATAGCAGATAGGTAATTAAAACTGCTTTTGTATGATGTGGTTATTTCAAAATAAATTAATACACGTTCACTCTAACTACTTCCTCATCATCTATAACGTCTATACTTTTTCGCGTTATTACAATTAGGGAACATTATTTTAAACATCATCATAACCTCAACTGCCATTTTGTTTTCTAATACGATGGTCCAGAATATTTCTCCATGGCATTGGCAACCGTGATCATTTCAACCCTTATTTTCATCACAAAAAAAAGCTCAAATACACACCAGAAGAGTTACCAACATTTGAATGAGTGAAGAGTGTATGTAATGTAGGCATTGAAAATTTTGGAATGTTATTCTCAACGAACATACAAAAAAGCTACGTTTGACGGTCAATTGATAAGAAAATCTTTTATGAGGGTTAATTTATTGAACTAATTTCCAACATATAAATATATTCTTTATATTTATTTTTTATTATAATATATTTTCAAATTAATATTGAATGAGACAAAATCATGTATGGAATGCTCGCAACGCTATTTTCTATATAGTTTTTATCCATGTTTATATTATTATATATTTGGTCGTTCAATTCTTATTCAATATCGAGTTTTCTATCTGTTATACTTTTTATAGGTTTTTTGCACCTGCTTATATTTGTGAGCTAAAAACGAAGTTTTAAATGCAAATGAAAATGGTCTTATTTAGTGAGATCAGATCGTGAATGTATATTCTTTTTCGACAATAATTTCTGGTGTTATATAAGGAAGATTATCTATCTGCTGGTCCCCAAAATCTATATACCAAGCATCAGTATTTGAAAAATATAATATATTTCCCGCATGTTCTTTATGAATTCTAAAAAGTGTATCAGATATTTTAGATTGTAAATATGCTCTTAAATCTATATCTGACCATTTACTAAATAGATATACTGGTTAAATAATTAATATGTTGTAATTTGTTGTATGAAATCCATTCAATTATTCTATCTGGTGTAGGTGATTTCGTATTAAATTATCAACATCAATATTTTCAGCAAAAATTTTGTTTTAATTTCGAATACAATGCTCACAATATAATGTTGCAAAACATTCTTTATGACAATTTTCACAATTAGAATTACTTAAAGTAACCCTTAAGACAAAGGAGTTTTATATTTACGCAAAAAAATAAAAAAAAGCAAAATATTAAAAATCTAGCTACATCAAAGAAATTCCAATTACTTCTTTGTTAATAAATCTATTATTTGTTTATGAGCATCTAATAACATAGCCTGTGTGTCAATAAGTCTTGTTTTAAGATCTTCACATCCATGACATTGTTTCTGTTTCTTTTCATAAAAAGTTCATATTAGTATTGAAAAGT